TTATATTGTGATCGCGTCGATATCTTTCAGTGTTATCCCCGTGGCGACCACGCACATACGGTTTATTTCGCGGCAAGTTAGCCTTATATTATGTTAATAAGTTTGTGCGTATGAACATAAGACGATAAGCATCTTTTTATCTGGAAGATTTTTAAATCGATTTTAAATTCCTGCTTAAAACGATTAAAAACACATTGATCATTGTCGAAATCTTAAAACTCTAAAATCATTACTGAAACATTGAAAGCAAAACAGAAAAATAACTCGACAACCAACAACCTACATTAAGTATAATATATTCATGAAAACCATAATCGAATTACCAAGTATTGATAATATTGATTTTCAAAACGGACATAATGCATATAATTACCCAGTTTAATATATCATAATCAAAAGCAAAATATTTTTTATTTTTTATTTGTAACATCGGAAAATTGATTGTAATACAATCGTTGGTTTTTTTTAGTGCATTGTATTAAAAAATCGCTAATACTACTGAATTATTTAGAAGTTCAGAACTGTGTAATAATTTTCTGGACTCGGTGTTTGAAATATTATAATTATATTAAATACATATTTATCATATTTATGTATTTAATTTAATAATTAATATTACAATAATAATAATATTAGATATATTTGAAATCCGACAAAAAATTTCGATCAAATAAAGCGAAAACATGTTTCTATTTCAATTGGTGGTGTAGTTCTACTAACTCCGTCATTTAATTAATTGAACACTAGTCACTATTTTGGAACCACACTGCTCACAAAAACATTATACACATATACACTCAGATTCAATTTCCACTCCGGTTGAGTTTTTTCCCCTTTGCTCCCCATTTCTGTGTCTACACATACGTGATATACGTATATAAAATAATATATTATTTACCGCATTTTTTCCTTTCCTATTACGCATCGACGACTGCGACCATTAGTGAGTAGTGCTACTTTTCGTTATATATACGCATAGCTATACCATACACAGAGGCGTGATCGAGTTGTATTTTCAGAAGAAGTTGACATTTTCGAAAACTGCAATTTAAAATGATGCCAACTGTGTATTTAGGTTTTTCACAACCTAGAGTCAATCATTTTTTAGGCAGTTTTTTTTTATAAAATATGTAATTATAAATCATTAAAAAATGATATTCAATATAAACTTAATTTATATTTAAAATATCTATACCTAAATTATATGTATCACGAAACAATTAATATTAAGTAAGTACCTACAATAACAGTGGATTCCGTTAAATGTGGGCACGTTGGAACCATCTCCGTTTGCCTACATAAAGCGGTTGCCCATAATAACCAAAATTAGTTCAAAATACAAAAAATTATAATAGCAAAAAAAAGTTTTTATTTTGAACACATAAACCATACAATTGAAAAAAAATTCAATGTTCATCAAAATTCATGCCAAGTGTCACCTCAATGGGTGATTTCTTAATTAAAAAAAGAAAGCATGAAATTACTTGATATTATCATATATACTTATTGTTCTAGATTGTATAGATGACGTATATCTAATTATAAAATATAAAAATTAAAAATTAAAAATCACTACATAAATAACATTAAATAAAATTACTATTTGTATGCGGAACAGGGCCGGCTTAAAGTATAAGAGAGCTAGGCACCTGCCTAGAGTGGCACATTAGAAGAGGCGGAATTTTCAAAATTGACTCGTACATTTTTTTTTAGTTCTATCGGTGTTTTATAAGAAAAATATTTAGATTAATTCATTCGTGAAAACCACTTATCTATATAAAAAAATAATTTTGTCTAAAGTTATTATATTACTTTATATTACGACCTACGCTGGGCGTTTTCGATTATTCCAAAAATATAAATAGCCACTAATAATACATTTCCGCGATTTCCGATAGTGACGATAATGATGGGTTTTGAGTAATAATTATAGAAATCATTTTTAAGTTTCTTTACATATAATTTTATACACAAAATAAAAAATTTTAAATTGTTTTATGTAGATATATCACATAAAAAATAGGGGGAGAGGCGGTGGCGTAATTGTGGGGGCAAGGGGGTAGGAAAATGCCCTATCTGACCATTTTTTGAGAGATAAAGGTAAAATTTTGCCCCCCCCCCCCAGATAATCCAACAGTACAAATAGCACCTTTTATTAATGAACTCTTATGGATATTATTTAACAATATTGGTAGGTACCCAGTACATGCTATCTACAATTTATATTTATCTAAACCATAAAATGAGTTAAAAGACTTATGTAAAATCAAACAATTAGATATAGTGTATAAAATACATACAATAAAAATATGTTTTAACTGGTGAGGGGTAGGGATGTCAGGGTTTTGGTAATAATAAATATATTATATTGTCCCCCTAGATTTTTTCCAGTTACGCCACTGGGGAGAGGCTAAGTTAAAATAAGAGCTTAATTTTTTTTTTTTTTTAGAGGTGGAAAAATTTGATTTTGCTTAGTGCACTATTTTTGCTTAGGCTAATCCTGATGTGAAAGGTATACAAAATTTTGTAATTGCTTGTTGTCTAAGCTGTTTATTGTGGATCTGGTTAACAAAATAAGCAGACGCTTGTTATTAATAAAAACAACTCACATAAGGCATCGACACTTCAGTATCTATCCCTTCCCGTTCACATTTTTGATTGCCAGTTTGATTTAAATTGAAATTTTCACGTAAAATGACTTCTTCTTTGAGCAGTTTCGCCATAGTTGTATTTCGTCGGAACGTATAATTTTTCGGCGATTGTACGTTGTGAAATACCTGAAGGAAACGACTACACTTAGTCTAAAATCGAGATTTTTTTTCTTTTAGGGAAAGATCATTTCAAGATATAGTGTCACTATAGAATTCAAATTAAAACTGAAATTATTGTTATCGAGTCACAGAACGTGTGCGGTCTATCGCTTTATTTATGTCACTTCTTTTTTATCTAGTCAACAAAATCCCATTAAAGTTAAATGGTTCCATAAATTTATTATAATGTTTATATTTATATTTATCATAACCATTTTTATTACTTTCGGTAAACACAATCTCATAGACACAGCAAAACTGGATTATACCAGTTGTTTTTAAATAAATATGTGTTTATGATTAGATACTTATTCCCATATTCATTAAATATAATATTGTCCTCATAAACCGAATCGAGTGACCATATTATGCGGCATTTTTTAACCTTATTAGTATACATTAGATTAGGGACCCGACTATTTTACCCATATTAACCGATGACCACATTAAGCCGAATTCACTATATATCTAAGCTACCTCATGTTAGCATTATCTTAAAATTAGCTGTGTATGAAATACCTTCCACTGGAAAGAAGACTTATATTGCCACAAAATAATTATTAACTTAGTACTGAGTACCTATCAGCATAAAGTCCCATATTTGTATTTTTGGTATAACCACATCAATTTATTCAAATTAATTATTACTTATAACATCCTCCCATATTGAAAATTCCTGGGCATGCCACTGACAGTGCCAAATCTAAGGTAGAAAATGGGTATGCTTGCTATAGGCACTTATAGTTAAGGACATTCTGAGGGGTTCAGGAAAAATTAAGTCATGAACATACACCATAATTCCAACAACTATTAGCCCTATAAGTCCTGAGCATCAAATTTCCTGGAATATAATATATCAATAAGGCTTGAAATGCAATACCATAAATACAAAAAAACCATGTTCATGATTGAAAGTGGTGTTAAGGAACTCTCTCTTTTCACACATCCGATTTATAAATAGTTCTTACATTTGCTTATCGTATTATTATTGTACATAGATTGTAAACTTTACTTAATGAAAAATAAAAACATGTATCTAGTAGGTAAAATATACCTATTTGTTTTAATCAATAGCATACTTCTCAATGGTTTATTTTTTGAATTCACCCTAATCATTGATCCATGTATTGATCCACTAATAAATTAGTGTATTTAATGCACAACAACGAAATTGTTTATTTCTAATTATTATTGTATTTACTCAATTTTTTTTTTACACTACAGTAATCCCTCATTATCCAGCAAACTTGCGCGGATAACGAGACTATAAATCAATGTAAAAAGAGAGGTTAGGTTAAATTTTTTTTAATTTTAAAAATCAATTATTAATCAATTAATAACTGAACAATTGACGATTATTAATCGTGCATGTGTAGGTAACCTTTTGTGGTTTATCTGCAATAAGTATAAGTATGTATAATGTATATGTGATATATCTATAGCGATATAACAACAATTATCTACAATTATTGTCAAAAATAAATTTCTAGTGTTCGTGTAATAACGGTAAAACGTTATCGCAATCGCAATCACATTAATATGTTACCGTGGACCCAATCGCAGATAATCGAAAACGTGGATAACCAGGGATTACTGTAATTTAATATAGTCTAGTCTTTAAATCTAAAACTATTCATTATTTTGAGAAGAAGTTTTGTTGATTTCACAAGAATTTTAACTTTTATAGAAATAATATCAAAAGAGAGATAGTTAATAGATTTTTTGTATTTCATACAAATACTATACTAAATGATAAAGCCAAAAACATTGTATTCTCATAACTGGTTTCATCAAGGATGCTAGGGAAACATGTCTCCAGCTGGGTCTGTTTTCAATTTATTTTTTATGTATAATGCCAAAATTAAATTGGTACACACTTAGCAAAGGGGCACACAAATATTTTTAGTAAAATAAGAAAATAACAAAATTCATATGAGAATGCTGGAGTAACAGACATATTTATTCAACGGATAACTTTTAGAAATACAACATTTCATATGTGCTAATCAAGCTGGTGTTAATGTAATTTATTATATTTAGTTCAAAAAAATATTTATTTAAATTTTTTTTTTTTTTTTAAATTAATAAAGTTCTTTTAATGTACATATACAGTATTGTTACAGTATAATACATTTATAAAAAATGGAATTTATAATAAATTATGGTAAGAAAAAAAAATTGTCATAAAACTAAGTTAATAAGCTAATCTCTTGTTATATTTTTATTTTTAAAAATTCTAACAGTATTATCGGCTCCTCCAGATAGAATTAATTTTTGATTTGACCAATCACTGCACATTACTTTTTCTTCATGACCAGTTAGTTCAAACAATGGTACTCTGGGACTGAAACAGAACATTTGTATGAAAATTTGTACAACCAACAAAAAATACAGAGAAATTGGCAAATTTTTACCTTCTTGTATCCCACAGTTTCATCTGGTTATCATATCCACCAGACACAAACTGATATTCATCCACTTTGGACCATCTGACAGTGGTCACCCACTGTTTGTGCGATGTAAAAGTACTCTTAACTAAAGATCCCTCTAAAAAATTACCATACAATATTATGGATATTAAAAATAACAATACAAATAAAATACAATGTTTTACTAAAATATTATACCTTTAGATCTCAAATCATATAATCTGATGTGTCGATCAGATGAACATGTAATTACAGATCCATTCAATTCAGAGTAATCATGATTAAAGAATGATTTGTTACCAACAATTTCAGTTTTAATTCCACCAATTTCTCCATCCCAATGTTTTATAGTATGATCCCAAGAAGACGTCAATATATCTGAATTGTTGATAAATTGAACTGATGATATATTTTCCTTGTGACCTTTTAATGTCATGATTGGAGGCTGTTTATGAAAGTAAAAATATTTATTTTAAATATTTCTCAATAAAATTCAACAAATAAAACCGAATTTACCATGATTTTTGTTTCTGATTTGAGTTTTTTAGTAGGCTTATCAGATGGCTCATAATTTGGATCTATTAAATATAAATATTTGATTTACAAATACAATTTTTAACAAATTTAAAAAATGTTTGATTTCTATAAATAAACACACTTACATAAAATTATAATTAACTAATTTTGAACACTAAAAAATTTCAAATTTAATTATAAATAAAAAAAAATATAAGAGAATATAGTATATAATATATAATAAATAGTTTAAAAGATTAGTTTAATTACATTCATAAAAATGTCAACGTTTTATTTTTGTCCACATTACATTTTCTAACATTACTTATTTTTCAATTTAATTAAGTAAAATTCAATTAACTAAACAAATAATTTTACCTGATGACCAAATTTTCAACATAGTATCCCATCCACCTGTAGCAAATCTGGTTGAATCTGGACTTACACTTATACATTCTACTGATCTTTCATGCCCCCGGCCAATTTGTAGACAGTTAGTCGTTCCTTTTTTTATATCCCAATCCCAAACTCTAATTGACTGATCATCTGAACCACTAAACAAAATACAAATTTATTAAATTTAATTATTCAAACTCAATTCTTAACCAATTTCAAAAAAATTTACTAAATTGTTTACTATTAACAAAAATAAATAATACATTCACTATACCAGCGGTTCTTAACTTTTTGTAGATCATGGACCCCTATTGAAGGATTTTTAGAAATTGCAGACCCCCTGCCAATTTTTTTTTTTCAAATACATTTTTTTTTTTTTTTACAAAACATCAAATTTTATTAAAACCAAAATTATAATAATTATTTTTATTAGACTTAATTTTAAATTTAATTATTTTAGTTGTAATTTTTTTTTTTTAATATTCTTAAAATTTAATTTTTATTAACTTAATGAGATAGTTGGTTTTACTTGACACACAAGTTTTTGAACATCGTATAAAGAGATATAATCTATCTATTATTTAATAAAAAATATATGAAAACAAAAAATATTAACAATAATCTAGCAATATTGCAATAATGCACTCATGTCACATATTGAAGTATGTTATGTGTTAAGTCTGCCGCGGACCACAGGTTAATAACTGTTGCACTATATGATATATTTTTTAGAATGTATTGTTGTACGCTTAAAAAAGAGATAATTTTATAAAATTTATTAAAATCAATTATATTATTTTGATTTTTTATTAATTATAGAATCTAAGATATTAATTATAAATATTTTGAAATGGATAAAAAAAATGACATTATTTACCTAACAAATGTTGCAGAATCATTTGATACTGATATCCATTGTACAGCCTTTACAGGACCTGTATGTCCAGATATACCAATATTATGTTTTCCTTTATTGGTCCATATATGAATAGAATTATCATAACACCCAGTTACAATCCTAAAATAAATTTAAAAAAATAGTATTAAAACAATAATCAATTAAATAATTTAAACCACATACCAAGAATCTTTAGAATGTATAGCAGATACCCAGTCGTCGTGTATAAGACAATCCATTGGTTCGGGTGATGGAGTAGCTTCCATATACTCAATGACCACATTTCTTTCACCTGATATATTTTTTTGTGACATATGGACATCCAAAGGAGAACGTAATAATTCACCATCGACCAAAAAATCAAAATCAACTTTTTGAACAACTCCATTATCATCAGATAATTTATCTAAATTAATCAATAATACAACATAAAATTATTCTAAAAATTATAACTATGTAATTAACAATAAATAAAATGATACGATTAATTGTAATCTTAAAGTATACAGTGAAACTATATGCAATTACTCCTAGAAGTAATTTCAAAACAAGAGTTGAAGTATTGTCTAATATTAGTATTTGAGTTTCTCACTTACATTACAATGTAGTATTAAGAGACCAGAAATATAATCTATGCTAGATCACTACATTTACAAGGTGTATTTTCATTCAAAAATAGAGAAAAAAATAAAATTATTAATAATATTAAACAAAAATTGTATAAGATAATAATATTGAAGAAAGGGCAAGACAAATGCTTATTCAACTTATTCAGATCTGATATTTCTATTGAATATAATATTTAAATATAGTTTTATTACTCAACTAATCATTTAACAAAAGATGTCTCATGAAAAAACAATAGTTTAACGAAGAAAATGTCATACTTAATAAAAATCCTTTTCAAATTATTGTCAACTTATAAAATGTGATATCATCATAACGATCAAAATGCTCAATCAATATATTATAATGAACATTTAATAAAAAATAATGAAATAATAAACCTTTCAACAATTCATTGATAATTTGGTTTAAATTTTCACATTGAATTTTTGAATCAACCGCTAATGGGAAATCTGGCACAGCATATCTGAAACAAAAACAATTATATATGTTTTATAAACGAATAAGAACTCACAACACAAATCAGGGTCTGACGAATGTAATCGACAAACCAATATCATTACTCGTATGTAAACATGATATTGTATCCATATTAATATTAAATATCCACGAAGACTTACTTTTCTTGTTTCGTTTGAAACTGTATTTGGATTTGTAAACCCAAATCGGGTTTCTTTTTTGAGTGGAACATGGCTTTGAAAAGAATTTCACAATACACTAATACTACGAGAACCGGCAATTTTTTAATAGCTGACAACAGTCAACAATATCTATGTAAGCACGTGTTCTATACGCATATCGTATTATCACGATACAGGTTTCTTATCGAATGTACAGTCTGCCAATGCAACTAGAATCAAAAAGGGCTAGGGTCAGTTCTTCTCATTGATAAGAAATAAAAATGATAAGATAACATTTTATAATAATACACCATCTGTTCAGAATCAAAATGTTTACTACCAGGAATAAGCCAAAGAAATAAGCAATCCTGTGTCTATGTATTTTATGTATTTAACGATTTTACTGATTATATTTTAAAATTATAAATCATTATCATTTTGATTATTGTTTAAGACTATCACCTGCGATTATTACATGAGAAAACTTAGCGATTATATTTAATAATCATCTAAACCTTTATACAATTTCTTGTTACTTAGTTTTGCCTACAGGTCTAAAAATTATGAACATAGAAGAACATATTGCTATTAGAAACCATTTGATGGACCACAACTATATTTTGCCTGATGGGTTGGAAAATAATGTTGAGGAAGTAGGTGTATCATCGGATGAAGATGTCGAAGTCGCTGCAGTGCCAGAAAATATCAAATCAATTCTAACTGATTTATGATACTTTCTTACAAAATATAAAATCAATTAGCAACAACTATTTTTTTTATATTTATGGAATATTATCAATTAACATTCAACTAATACCGGTACAATTTTTTTTAAATTATTGTCGCGTCCTGCGTAGTCAGGACACATCACAAGAAGGTTCCCATGAACATCAAAAACCACAACTGGGGATAAGTTAGATTATTGTGTTCACGTGGTTATTACACTAGAGATCACAATAAGGAATTAGAATATCGAAATCACAAGCGTAGACAAGTGAAAGGGTTCGCATAAACGTTTTTATGGGAAATTGAAATAAAATAATCGAATCAATAGTGACCACATCCTGGATCTCTGCGTCAATAAATAGTAGATAACCCACACACACGCAGAATCAATAGGAAATTATCTTATTTTATTATCGTTTTCATTTACACACACACATGCAGATATCAGATATAAAAGGGACCCGAAAACAAGGGCAAATCAGACGAGTTTTGGCTATGTTGCACTGAGCACCTTCACGTCAGTGTATGTCATGGTCCGAACTTAGAAATATTTCACATTATTTTATAAGTCATAATTGTTAGGACTTAGAATATTTACGAAATTGTAGTTAGAATAATTTTATGAGTTCAAATAAATTAAATTATTATAAAAAGTCTTGATTATTCTTTACTACACCTACAACTAAGCGTTGACTGAGACGTTGACACTGAAATCACGGATCGAACGGTTGGGACGTAACATTATTAATCATATCACATCTGTAATCTGTGTTTAATGTTCTGTAGTAATGTATTAGATAATTATATGGAGATCGGCTTATAAAAATTTACTAAAACCATTAAGTATGATACACAAAATACGTATTGGATTAATAATGAAAAATTGTATTATTAACTATCAATAGTAAAAATACATATACACAAAATATAAATTACATTAAATTCACTGTAATTATAATACAAGGAGGGAAAATAGTGATAATTTAAAATTCAATAAACTTAATACAACATTATTAAAGAGCTTTAATTTAATTAAAGGTATATAATTGTATAATCAACTGCATACAAAAATTAAATTAATCGATAATAATAGGAAATTTAAATTTAGTATAAAAGATTTATATAAGCGAATATTATATTAATTGTCTTACTAATACTATTATGAATCATAGTTATTATTTTTAACATTTATATATTTACAACTACATATAAAATAATATGTAAAATGCAATCTTCAATAATTATCTAATTAATTTCAAATAATATAAAATATATACCAAACGTTGATTCCACAATAATTGTATTAACTATTTACATTCAATTCCTGTAGTACTTACTGGGAAATAGTTATTTATATGTATGAAAATAATTTAAATACTGCATAAAAGATAAAAATTTTCTAGTGAGAATTATTTTAAATATACAAGTATTATATTTTTTTATTATACTGTAGTTTTAGTGCTCATTAGCTGGTGAAGATTATATGTAACATTGATATTACAATATTTTATATTTATTGTTGAAACTAATATATTTTTTAACTAAAAAACAGTTACTTTTAATTTTAAAATTATTTTATCTCAAATACTGTTTATCTATAATTTTCTATTTGTGTATACTGTATGGTATTTAAATTTGCTTTGATTCTTTTGATTACAGTCAATACTTCCAATTTTAATTGCCACTGCTGACAGAAGTTAAGAAGTTTGAAAAAATATTTTCAGAATACTACACTGAGTTATAGCTTATAGACTTAATCTTTTATCCGTTCATAGATATGTAATATGTAAATGTAATGAATGATATGGTAATAGATAAGTTTACCAATAGTGGCAAACTGGTAAAGCTAGACGACTTAAATTAATAATTTAACTTAGTTGTAGATTTAGTTTATGGTTTTTTAATTCATATTTTGATGTTATTATGGTTTTATTTTGTAATGTAATGTACTTTATTTTTGCAGAAACATCTCTTTCTATATTTAACACTGCAATATTAGACAGGCGATCTTGTCCCATACTATTTCGTAAATAGTTTTTTTATCAGTTTTAATTTTGAAAACGATCTTTCTGCTGATGCTACTGTTACTGGTAAAGTTAAATAAATTATACAAGCACTTAAGATATCAAAGAAAGTTGTACATAATTTGTTATTTATGATATATAAAGTAAGTTCTTTAATAGATTTGATTTTTTGTGGAACAAGTAAATCTCTGATACATAATAGTTGTCTGGTGAAGTCTATGTTTTTTGTCTATGTCTATAACTAGTCGAAATAATACTTCAATTTTGAACTTCATGGTGTATTTTCGGTATGAAATCAAATATCGGAGATACCCAGAAATTCCCAAGTGTTCAAATGCGGCGGGAAAAACAAAAAAAAAAATGAGGAAAAACGTTAATTTTTGTGCAAAACCAGTTTTCGACAAAATCAATTTTTTTATTCAGCTTGCTCAAAAACCAAATATTGTAGATACTTGAAATTTTTATATTAGAATCATCAATACGTGGTACAATTGTTAAAAACTTTTGAATTTTTTGACCTTTTTATAGACAACTGAAATTTTCAACTTTTCTTTGTTTTTTTTTTTGAAATGTGGATAAAAAAAATTTGTCTGGCCAAAAAATCTTGAAAATATAATACAAGATTCTTCATAAGTTGTACTTATCGGTATAAAAAAAAATCCAAAGCGTAATGCACAGTTTATTTTTTATAAGCATAGAAAGTTCACATTTTTACGAAATGTGTGAAAAATCGTGAATTCAAAATTTGAAGTTAATTTGTAGTTGAAAATTCATACAATTTTAAGTATTCGAAACTAAGAATTGTAAATTTGGTACAAAGTTTTCTTTTAATTATCTGTAAAAAAATTTCTACCGGAATAATATCCAAAATTTTTATGAGTGTTTAAAATGATAATTTTTACATAATTACGTAAAATAACAATTTAGTCTTCAACGATTTTTGATATTTATTCTTATTCAAAAAGTATAAGTCGTACAAACTTAAAACTTTCACCAAATGTTAAAATTGGCATTTTCTTTGCAAAATATTTTGTTTATTTTTAAGCTATTTAGTATTCATAGGCATTTGAAATATTCTATTTTTCTTAAATTTTTTTTTGTAAAAGTTGATAAAAATTGTTGACACAGCCAAATCACTTGAAAATGTAATAGAAGGTTTTACATAAGTTGATCTAATAGTGATTCAATAATTTATTCAGTTTAGTTGAATATATTATATAAAAAAATTTGTATTCAAAGTTAAGAAATGAAAATTGAATACAAGGTTTTCCATAAGTTTTGCTTACAATAAGTATAAAAAATATCTGACTGACTTATTTGTAAGAACAGTAGTTCTGTTGTAGTTGTGTGTCAACTCAATAGTCGACACACAACTGCAACTGGATTACCAAAACTAAATATAACGAAAACAATCATTACTTATAAATTTTAAACAATGATTATATTATTAGCCAGATTGTTATTTGTTATACTGTATGGTATTAATTTTAAAATGAAAAGAAACAGTTATCAGATATAATTGTCAATAAAATTCCAGATAACATATTATAAACGGTAAATACTAAAAATAGAAATAAGTGGTTATAAAATACAATGCCCAATGATCCGTTGAATTTTAGTGGGGCAGTATATATTAAACATCTTATATTAAATTTTAAAGATTTTTTTAAGAGCCAAATTTTTTTTTATCGGTATTTCAAGAAAAAAAAAATTAGAAAAATCGAAAATTTCAATGGTCTATAAATATTTTGAAAATTTAATCATAAATATATAACGCTAATATAAACATTTTGTTAAAATTTCAAGTCTTTACAATGATTCGCTTTTGAGTTACAGCAAAATCAAAAAATCGATTTAGTCGAAAAGTGATTATACGTAAAAATTCCTATTTTTCCATTACTTTTTCAGGGTTATTACAGAGTCTCTTAAAAACTAATATAAATTTTTTACTTTTAACCACCTAAAGTATAAACTAGATTAAAAATTTCCTTTTTAAAGAGGGGCTGAAGTCCAAAATCAAAGCACTATTACTACTCCAAAACGTGATGACAGACACAATAATAAAAATAAAATAAAATAAAAGCACACATCATTGTAAAATAAACACGTTCATCACTCCGTTAAGAATCTAAAAGTTTAATAAAAAGTATTAACATAGATGTTCTAGAACCTAGAAATAACCTATAAAAAACGTAAAATAATTTAATACATAATAAAGAATTGAGTTAAATGAATTATCAACAGAAGTTGAAGGTGGTAAAGTATGATAATAGATAAAGGGGAAATATTTGAATTTTGTACTCGAACTTCTAAGAACCCCACGAGCCGCCTCTGGTTTGAGAATTATACAAAATAAAGTACATACTACTGTACGGATTAAAGTTGAAATTTGTGAAAAATAATTGATCCGGGTGCTGGTGTAACGTTACCGCAGCACCCGTAAAATGAAATTGAAT